CTGCTGCTGCTGCTGCTGCTCTGGGTCTGCTGCTTCTGCTGCTGCTGCTCCTTTGTGGTTTGCTGCAGCTGCTTGGTGGTAGACTGCAGATGCTTGGTGTGCTGCAGCTGCTTGGTGGTCCCGCTCACCGCGCGCAGGGGGAGTCGAACCGCGGGGGGGGGGTCCATAAGATTGATTTAATCAATTATTTGAGGTTTCTGAGGTGCGTCCACCCCGTCACTTAACTTGCTAAAGCAAGAGCAACTCCAGCTAGCTAAGGCTAGCTTTCGTGATCTACAGTAACTCTTTGGGCTTTCGTCCGGCTTGAGGCCGCGCAAGCATCACGGAACATGACCCATGCACTGAAACACACACTTCCGATGGTCGTGTAAAGGTTGCGTCATGCTTCAGTCTGAACTCATTGTCAACCGGTTGGTTCTTCCTAGGGGCCATTTTCCACTTCCATGTTAGTTCCAGGGAGTGTAGCTTTCCTGACAAGTTCTGACAAGTGGCCACTCCTGCTGGTTGAACTTCCGTGTCCGGGCCAGCGTCAAGGCAGGTGAGAGCGGTATCCTCAGACTGATCTTGGCACCAGTGGCATCTGCGAGCGACGGCAGCTCTTGGACGCTACAAATGATACAGTCCCTCTTGATATCTTGGCAACGAGCGAAGGAACACCAAAAGACCAAAGCTCCTCATAAAAGCCAAGCCAAGGGTCATTTGAATTCCATGAATGTACCTCGGCGCGGAGGACGGAAAAGACCTGCTGGGCCTGCGGCCTAAAGTGGCAAAGGCAAGCATGGCAGCATGGCACTGTGTTTAAACAAAGGCTTCCTTCTTTCATGATCCGAGAGGTCCGGGGTAGACCGAAAGGTCCGAGGTTGCTCGCGGCACAGCATCTTCAAGGTCGTCGCTCGCCGAGGCGACCTAGCTCCTAATGAGTTTCTCCCCTTCAATGCTTATGCTGGTGACACAACAGGGAAAAGGGCGGCGACATATCATCAACCATATGCAAACATTACTTCTGATTGTAGTGACCGAAGGACTCACTACCAGCTGGTGTCGCCATGAACATCTGAACCCACATCTTCCAAGCACTTCCACTTCACCTAAAATGGCCGGTGGACTCAATAATGACCTCACTCGACGTCCAAGGCTCTCAAAGTGCTTCCCAAAATAGGTGGCATAGTGCGCCTTGTTTTGCAGAAGCATCCCAGGTGCACGATTCCGGGCCTCGAGTCGGATGTGCGGTAAAGGTCGAGTTGATCGAGTCGGGTCCGAGTCGATCGAGTCGGTGTTCAAGCAGCCCATGTTCAATGGGACGAAACCTCCACCACCGCGCTGTGCCGCAAACTGTGCCCGACCTGGACGAAACACAAAAACCACCTGGGGATGCACCTGGATCGATGAAGTCCAGGTCGACCATCCGAGACATCGGATCGCCGGAAGACCAAGAGAGATAGGGACACCATGCCATCTCATGCTCGCCCCAGTGGCCGATCCAAGCAAGTTGATATTCTGTGTATCCACCCACTATCTCCCACTTGTCTACACAAGGCCGCCTTCGAGGTCGTTTCTGCCCCAAGGCTCCTCCACCCTGCTGACGAAGACACATAGTCGGCTGGATGGTGAGGGTTTCCTCATTGCAGCTGCTTGGGAGAAATGCTCAACCAAGCTGAACCAACAAGAGCTCTGCACCACTCCCTGCACCCCGTGTACAAACTCAGGTTGTGAGACAGTTGACTCAGTTGACCCCCGCAAAAAAAGAAACGTCCAACCAACCGTTGCCCTCTGAGCAGCTCAGTTTGGCTGCACCCGCTTCGGCAGTGTCCAACGGATAGAGTCAAGTGCTGAAATGGAAGGCATGTGTCGGACCATGCACCACCGCCCCCCAAAAAAGATGTGAAATGATGTAATCACAGAGTCATGATGGAAGGTGAGTGTGCTAATGGAATTTTGCAGGGTCCAATTGCCAAACTTCAGGACCCATGCCGCGGCCCACAAAGGAGGGATTAAGAAAGGATTTGGCATCATCTTGCAATCCCAAAGCAGCCAGGTGGAACCCGTGCACAGCTGGAAGCGTGAGCATTGGCAGAGACAGGGCAACCAACCACTAGGGCCGGTAAGGAAACCCCATGCTGCTTGACTCAGAGAATCGTGTCTGGAAGACTAGAAACTCAACAAAGTCTCCACCCCTGACCCCTGAGATCCCCTGGGCCTTCCGCCATGAGGAAAAACTCCTGCACTGTGGCGGTGGCCATGGCCAACCTCGGCGACATCGGGCCAAACCGCCCGGGGTGAGCAGGGTGGAATTCCTTTCCTGATTTAACCAGGGACAAGGTGTGGGTTGCGCCGGTCCATGTGGGTCCTGGGTTCTGTGTTTGGAGATCTGTGGTAGGATCCTGGGTTCAGTGCGCCAATCCAAAGCACACCTGTTCTTGTTGCAATTGTCACCTCAAAGTCAAATAGAAAAGGGGTCAACATGCTCCACCACTGTTAGTCTCAGTTGATGGGGAACATGTGTTATACATTTTTGCAAGGTATGCATACATCTAATAGACTCATGTAACGTACTATATAATTCTATATAACTTCATTATACTTCATTCCTCCCTCTCTCCCTCTATATTGCACATGTATCCGCGTGCGTGTCAACTTCGAGACTGCAAGCAGATTGATAGGATCTTTAATGGCTCTGTTGGCAATCACTGCCCATGTCAGAGTGGAGACAACATCAGGTTGCCCACCAAAAAGTGGCACACCTCTCAAAATCAAAAAACAAAAAACTCTCAAGTAAATGCCTCGGAGCATGGTCGCACCCAGTTGCTGCATAGACCTCCGTCCAGTCTCCTCCAAAACCGGTGGGTTGATCAAACCGGCCGATTCAAATGCTTCAGATTCGTTTGCACCAGTTCTCACACGTTTGCCCGGCGGCCTAACCCCGGTCGACCTGGCCCGGGTCGGATGCCCAGTTCTCGCTCTCCGGTCCTTGCCCCAGAGGTGAATCCCATAGTGGAGGTTCATTTCTTCCTCAGTCAGTCAAACTTGAAACCTAAAGTTTTTCTGTCTGGCCGTTCCCATTCCCTGTCTGACAGTCTGACATGGCCAGATGCACACACAGCATCAAAAAGGGATGCACATATGCACATTACACACAAACACACAGCCCCCGAAAAGCAGCTACGCGTATTATATATATTATATATGTACACACATATGTATTTATGACATATACTTAAATATCAAATAGAGTTATTTATGCATTGAGTGATCCTAGAATACCCGATGCATCCTAATAACTACCAAACATTCTTCAAGTGCCCCTCGATTCTGGATTTCTTTTTAATCTTTTACCAAGTCATCCCACAAGCACTCCACCAGACGGTCACTCCGCAGCTTTGTGGCTGAGGTAGGTAGAACCCCCTTATGGATGCCATATGGCTGTGGGCCAAAACCCGGGAAGGTCGGACTCGGCCTCGGACCATAAGCCTTTGGGATCCGACCCTTGGAACCGTCCCACTCCGGGCTCGGACTTAATTTAGGATTTTGTTGCTTTTGTTTTATTGTTTTTTTCGTGGCAGGCGCAGTACTTTGTGGACATTGAAGTGCAGATTTCT